TAATCATTTTATTCTTCCGGTTAAAACTCCCTGTGACAGCCTTCAGGGTAAAGTTCAAGTCCTTTCGCATAACACAAAGCTCTTGATCTGTCCTCTGCTTTCCTTTCTGCTGTGTGACTGTCTAGTTCCCAGCAAAACACACACACACACACACACACACACACACACACACACACATATACAAATATACTTATCTTTATGTATTTACATCTATACATATCTATATTTATACCAATATATAATTTTTACTTTCCTTTTCATTTTTCTTGCATCCTGCCCCACTGTCATGGGTTTTATCCATCGTTCACCTCTTAGTAATTCCTCTCAGATACATTTCAGTCGATCAAACACACGACCAGGAACTGTACATTCTCCTTACTCTACATCCTCATTCCTGTCAATTTTAACCCCCTTGCTCTTCCGCTGTCCTAGTTACTACTTGCTCACGGCTCCTCCTTGTGCTTCCTTGTCTCCCATGCACCTCCTCCCTGTCCCCAGAACCATCTGTCCCTTTACTGTTTCCTTGGGATTGCTTATCCCATTTCTTTCAGGGATCTATATCCTAGACCTCTTACCTAATAGCACTTGTCCCCTTTTAGTCCTCATCCTTTGTGTCTGAGGACCACGCCTTGTACAAGACCCCACTGCTCTTCCTGCAGGAAAAGATGGAGTGGTCTAGTGCCCCACCCACACCCCTTTACATCTGTAGACTTTCAGTGTGACCCCTTGTGAATATTCCCCAACCAGTTCAGATGAGGTAGGTGCCAAGCACTGACACCTCCCCGACCCCCCTCAGTCAGACTGGCCGCACCCCTCAAACTGTGTCTTCAGTGCTGTCCTCTGTAGCCCTGTCATCTAGGGAGGGGAGGGACATTGTGTCTGGAGCTGAGGTGAGCCCTGCAATCCCCTAAGAGCTATTTTTAATGGTGTGGATATGTATACTTGCGTGTGTGTGTGTGTGTGTGTGTGTGTGTGTGTGTGTGCACGCGCACACACACACGCATATTAATGGCGTCTAGTCCAGAAAGCATCAGTAAAAGCATTGAGTTAATACCTCCTGAGATTTGGAACAATGAGCCGTTTGGCACAGGTGCTCCATCTTGCTAAATGTAGCCTTACTCCTGCTGCACGAATAATGGATGGGTTTGGATCCTAACAAGCAAGATAATATCATTTTTTTTGGATAAATGCCTTGGGGTGTTGCGGTGAGAGGGCTTTCCACTTAGCTGTTTTTAGGGTGTTTTTTTTTAAAAGACTTTCTTCAAAGGCAATTGGGTTCCCCCAAAAGAGAAGTGAAGTTCATAGACACTCTTCTGTCAGCCTGTGTGTCACAAGTCATGTCCCTCAAGAGGAGAACTTCAAAATGTCTTTGTCCTTGTGATTTCAGGCCTGCTTCCTCTTCTTCGGTGGACATTGGAGGAGGACCCATTGGGCCATGTGAGTACCCTAGTAGCAAATAGTCATCCTGCCTTGCAAACACAGAGGCTAGGGTGCTTGCCTTTGGCGGGGAGAGG